ACAATGCTGTTTTACTTTCTCTTGCTCTATAGGATATCATTGGGATGACTAAAAATAATGTTTATATGTTATAATATTGTTTCAATTTTAATTTTCTGCTTTTGATAATTGTACTGTGGTCATGTAAGAAAGTTGCTGGTGTGGGGCTAGGCACCTGCCTACCACGGGTGAGAGCCTGGGTTCAATATCCAGCATGGGGGTTTGGGAGAAGGAAAGTCCTAGCTTTTAGGGTACACAAAATTAAGTAATTAGGGGCAGAAGGGCAGGACATCATGACTGCAACTGTTTTTAATTGAGGTGGAATTCACATAATGTTAACCACTTCAAAGTGTACATTGGGTGGCACTTAGTACATTCACAGAGTTGTGCAACCACCACCTCTACCTAGCTAAAACATTTTTTCATTCCCAAAGGAGACCCTGCGTCCACTAAGCAGTCAATTCCTGTTTACCCTTTCCTCAACCCCTGCCAGCAACTAATCTGCTTTCTGTCACTGGGAATCTACCTATTTTGGTAGCTCATTTAAACTGAATTATACAATATGTGGCCTTTTGTATCTAGTGTCTGGCACTTTTCCCCCTCTTTGAGACAGAGTCTCATTATGTTGCCAAGGCTGGCTTCAAATTCCTGGACTCAAGAATCCTCTGGCTTCAGGCTCCTAAGTAGTGCAGCATGGGTGTGCCCTGTGGTGCTTAGCTTTCATTTGGTATAATGTTTTCAAGGCTCATCCACAGGTTGGTTCATCTTCATTCCTTTTTGTGGTTTCGTAATATGCCATTGTTTGAATATTCTGTATTTTGTTTATCTGTTAATGCACTTTTGGGCTGTTTCCACATCTTGACCTCGTGAACAGCACTGCTATGATGCAAACTTATTTTTAAATGGTTCAGAAAAAAAGCCATGTATGTATGTGTATGTATGTGTGTGTGTGTGTGTGTGTGTGTGTGTGTGTATACACACGCATGCCTACATGCACTTATGCCCTTGCATGCACGCGCATAAGTAAATATAAAAGAAAATAAAGCAAATGTAGTAAAATATTAACATTTGAAGAATTTTGGGGAAGGTTGTAAGGGTATCCGGGAATTCTTCATACCATTCTTTCCATTTCTGTAATTCTGAAATTATGTCCAAAATTTTAAAAAGTTAATAATTGGGAAAGAAAAGTCTGCCTTCTGAAAACATAGGAAACCAAGAACTCTTGTATAATACTGGTGGGGGTGTGAACTATTAGAATCAATTTAAAGGAGAACAATTTGGCAATACCATGTAATGAGGAAAATAAACATAGCCTATAAACTAGTAATTCCACTTCCAGATATATAAGTAGGTACTTTTTTAAACCATGGAATTATGAGCCACGTACAACAAATTTAGTGAGGGGGAAAAATCAGCACTTAAAAATGTGAAGGGGAATAAAAAAGAAAAAAAATCAGAATCTCACAGTGCAGCTTAAGAATTATTTTGTGAAATCTTTTTTAACAGAGATGAATTTCAAAAACCCATGGGTGTGTTTCTGTATAGACTCAGAACATCTCTAAAAGGAAGACAAGAAATTAGTTACCATGGTTGCCTCCAGGAAAGGAAACTGCATGACTAAGACAGGGAAGAAGGGAGGTTCACCTTGTGCTGTACTCATTTGTGCCTTTCAATTTGATACACATACTAATAGCATCTATCTTAAAAAATAGTTTAAAAAACTATGTATGGAATACTTATATTTTTTTAAAAAAAGAGATTTTTTAAATATTTATTTATTTTTTTTTAGTTTTTCGGTGGACACATCTTTATTTTACTTTTATATGGTGCTGAGGATTGAACCCAGCGCCCCGCGCATGCCAGGCGAGCGTGCTACCGCTTGAGCCACATCCCCAGCCCTGGAATACTTATATTTTTGAAACACAAAATTTGTACATGCTTAACAGAAAATGTTATAGATTATATCAATTTGTGACTATATCCAATAATGTTTAAATTTTTCATCAGTATATATTATTTGTATAATGAAAAAGTTAAAAAAGAAAACATCTTCACAATAGATAAATGTGAAGGCTAAATAAGATGTTTACATTTTTATTATTAAAGTTTTATTAGAAAAAATAATTTTTTTCATGTTGTAGAAAGGATTTGATATTTTATAATTTTTTAAATTTTGAAAATGTTAAAATTTATTAATAATAGTTAACATCATAGTTAATTCAACTGTTTCTTTATTGTAGATAGTGACAATATCTTCACAAGACTGCATGCTCATATAATTTTTTTTAAATGCCAAACATTTAAGTTCTTTTTCTTAGCAAGAGATTTTTTTAATACTTAGGAATCTACTAAATATTCTTCTTAGCATACACTGTGTTAACTTTTCCTCCTAAAGAATCCTCTTATATGAATAATATTATTCCTGAGTAATATTGAATATTAAAAGCATATTCACTGAAAGAAGATAGAAATTTTTTTCTAGTCATGCCTCAAATATTCTGAATATTTTTTGCTTTGACTTGCATTAAAAAAAAAAAACAAGCTTTTATAGATAAAAAGCAAATATGGAGAGCTGGCAGTCCAAAGGATTATCTTCTCTGTTTTTTGGGTTTGTGTACTGGGTATTGAACTCAGGGGTATTCGACCACTGAGCCACATCCCCGGCTCTTGTATTTTATCTAGAGACAAGTTCTCACTGAGTTGCTTAGCATCTCACAGTTGCTGAGGTTGGCTTTGAACTCGCAATTCTCATGTCTCAGCCTCCTGAGCCACTGGGATAACAAGCGTGCGCCATCGTGCCTGGCATCTTCTCTCTTTTTATAAAATTAAAACAATTATAGGGCTGCGGATGTGGTTCAAGTGGTAGCGCGCTCGCCTGGCATGCGTGCGGCCCGGGTTCGATCCTCAGCACCACATACAAACAAAGATGTTGTGTCCGCCAAATACTAAAAAAATAAATATTAAAAAATTCTCTCTCTCTCTACCTCTATCTCTCTCACTCTCTCTTTAAAAAAAAAAAAACAATTATAAATGGAGTCTAAAGGAAAACATTTCACCATAAGAAAGATGTTTTAAGAAATGAATGGGGGCTGGGGTTGTGGCTCAGAGGTAGAGTGCTTGCCTGCCACACGTGAGGCACTGGGTTCAATCCTCAGCAACACATAAAAATAAAATAAAGACATTGCATCCATCTATAACTAAAAAATTTTTTTAAATAAAATAAAATAAATGAATGGGATGGGTGTGCTGACACAGGCCTGAAATCCCAGTGACTCAGGAGGCTAAGGTAGGAGGATTGCAACTTTAAGGTCAGCCTCAGCAATTTAGCGAAGACCTAAGCAACTTAACAAAAGCCTGTCTCCGGATAAAACACAAAAAGGGTTGGGGATGTAGCTCAATAGTACAGCACCATGGGTTCCATCCCAGAAAAAAATTAATCAAATAGACAAAAAAAGTCTTTATAATTCCTGAACTGTAAAATAGTTATGCTACAGAAACAGAGAAACTTTACAGTATAGGGTCTTAAATAAGCCTCTCTTGATTTCTGTCTATTTTCTGGAAGTAAAGTTTGCATTCAGGTGATAGTTAAAAATTAAGATTAATAACTGCATTTCCTGGAAGTTTCTTCAAAAATAAACTAAACTCACAGGATAACTATTGACCTTTAATCAGAACAAAACAAAACAAAACAAAAAGCATCTACCTCTTAGTTAATCTGTTGGGTCTGAGGCTACAAAATACTAACATATACTTTTCTTCATCCCGGGACACCAGTCTGAGCAGGGTATACAGCATGAGCTATGTCGGAGGCCTTAAAGCTGACAGTGAAGCCACAATGTCAGAAGAGCCAGTGGCAAGCAATTCTTATTCCTGCATTCTGTTTATCTTCCATAGTCCCTTATACTTCAAGTTGGAAAAGACTGCTGGAAGGGATGAAAAGAACTACAGCGGTTCCTTATCCTAGGGAATATGTTCCACCTCAAAACCCCCAGTGGACGCCTGATATCTTAAGTAGTACCAATCTCTATGTGTATGGTTTTCATATATATATACATATATATCTCGTAAAGTTGAAAATTCACCTTTTCAAATAAAGGATAGCGTTTACAGCTTCTCTTTGGTTTATTCAAATTGCCAGCATCACTACTCTTACGCTCTATGGCCATTATCAAATAAAATAAAGCTTACTTGGACACAAGCACTGTGATACTGGGATTACCTGATAGCCCTAATGGCAACCAAGCAACTAACGGGTGGATAGCGACACAGCATGGTTACACTGGACAAAAGGATGATTCATGCCCCAGGCAAGACTGGAGCAGGACTGCAAATGGCATGCAATTCAAAATGTATACATTATCTATTTCTGGAATCTTTTGTTCAAAATTTACAGATCACAGTTTGTTGTGGGTAACTGAAACTGTAGAAAGTGATACCACAGATAAAGAGGGACAACTGTATAGGGAAGAAAACATGGAGAAAGTTAGAACACAGGGCTAGGGGCGAGGCTCAGAGGTAGAGTGTGTGAGGCCTTGAGTTCAATCCCTGGCATCAAAAAAAAAAAAAAAAAAAAAAACGGAAAGGAAAGAAATAAAGAAAGTTGTAATACAATAGTCCAGAACAACTTAAGAGGAGCAGGATCTAGCAGCAAACTCCCACTAGTGGGCTACTGCAGTTTTAATCACTACCATTCTGGGAACTGACTCCCATATTTTTTCTTGGCTCATCTTCGTTCTTTTCCACTTGTTACTCTTACCTGTTCCTATCTTCCCTAGCTTTGCCTAGTTGTTAAAAAAAAAAAAAAAAAAGGTCAAGATCTAACCTACATCTCAACAGTGTCCTCCTCTGCTTCATTTTTCTATTATGGAATCTCCTCCTTCCAGGGGAAGGCTTTATGTCATTTCAAAGCAATCTGCAATGGTTAGTATTCTAAAGTGACTGACTCATAGCCAGAAGTGGCTGGAAATCCTTTGACCTACTAAAAGAAAGGGAAAACTATAAAAAGGGCTATATCTACTTACCTCGAACTTGCTTTTTGATTTCTTTGGCAGAATCCAGCCATGTCTGTAAAAAGAGAAAAGGCATTCACACAGAGCCACAACACACATAAACAACAGAGTCCTCGGAAGCAGGATCACTGACCATCTTGGAAGAGTGCCTCCACATCAGCCTGCATCTCCCCTGACGGGCTTTGCATTGATTTTACAAAACATAATGATGTTCAGCAAAGTAAGACTCAGAAGCTGGGCTTAAATCCAAGCTCCACTACATTCTAACTGAGTAACTTTACCATCTCCAGGCCTCATCCCCTCATTTGTAAAATGAGATATTAGAGTAACACCCACCTCACAGAGTTAGGAAGATTAAATGAGCTAATATATGGAAATCTCTTAGTAAACATTAAGTATGAAATAAACACTTGCTATTTATATTATTCGGTCAAGTCTAGAGAAGATTCTACAACCAGAATCAATTCACATTATCCAAATCTTATTTTCCCTTCCAACCCTGACCTTTGTCTCGTTCAAGTTTTCTACATCAGCACAACATCTGTTACATGGTTCATACCCAGTTAATGTTCACAGGATAATAGGGCCATTAGGTTCTGCCTGACTACTCTTGCCCACACTAATCTTTCCCTCACTGTTCTCCCTGTCAAGGGTCCAAACATCACCAGGACAGGCTCCATAGCCCATGGTAGACCATGTAAAATAATGGCACTTGAAAAGAGCCTTTCCATTAACATCTTTCATAGGAACCTTTGAGAAATGTTTAAAGTCAAAAATCACTAAATTTCTAGAATTATTTAAAACATTTTTACAGAATGAAGATACAAATGGAAGAGTACGTTGGCTGAGGGTATAGTTCAGCTGGGTGTCATGGTATACCTGTAATCTCAACTACTCAGCAACTTGAGGAAGGAGGATGGCAAGTTTGAGGCCAGCCTGAGCAACTTAGATCCTGTATCAAAATAAAATTAAAAAGGGCTGGGGAAGGCTGGGACTATACAGTGTCAGAGTGACTGCCTGTTACGTGTGAGGCACTGGGTTCGATCTTTAGCATCACATAAAATAAAATAAAGGCATGCTGTCCATCTACAATTAAAGAAAACAAAACAAACAAACAAACAAAAAGAGGGCTTGGGGAGTAGTTTAGTAATAGGGTACTTGCCTAGCATGAGTGAAGACCCTGAGTTCAACCCCCAGCACCAGAAAAAAAGCAAAATAAAACCTTCTGGAGATAACAAGAATTGACGTGAACAAGAACAGTTACTTTTTTACTAAAATTATTTAACTCCAGTATTTTATTTAGCAAACAAATATTGGAGGAATGATTCAATGTAGTTGGCAGTGTGGTTTCAAAAAAAAAAAAAAAGATTATAAAAAGAGTGCTTGTTCTTTAGGAGCTGTCATTTTAATGTGAGACATGAACAATGAGCAATCGATTTGTTCCAGGTGTGGCCATTACTATGACAGTGCCATGACAGAGCTGAGAGTACACTGAGATCACAGAGAATGCGCACCAGCATGGACTGGAAGGCAGTCAGGAAATGTTTCTCCAATAGAGTGTCTAGGGGATCTAAACTGAGTCTTGACAAACAGGAGGTATCCAGGCAAAAAAGAAAAAAAGGTAATGAGAAAGCCACTGAAGTATAAAAAAGAACATGATTATTTCTGAACTGCCATATGTAGCTCCCCACAGCTTGAGCTCAGAGGTAAAGAGACGCAAAACTGAAAAGGAAAGTAAGGGCCAGATCAGGGAAGGCACCTTACTCCGTGCTAGGAATATGGACTCCATCAAGTTCTGGGCAAGCAGGAGCCATTAGAGGATTTAAAATAAAGGAGTAGCATGAATTAGAGGAAGCATGCCTAGAGACAGGGAGACCAAATAAGAGGCTGTTGTGCAGGATGATAATTGTGGTCCAGCAGAGTATAATGGTTCAGGGAACATGCTTTGAAATCAGTCTTGAATTATAACCTTGCCTTAACCTCTCCACCATTTATTAGCTATATAAACTTACCTAAGATAATCTTTCTGAGCCTCAATTTTTTCATATGTGTACTTGGTACAAACTACCCTCCTCATGGAGTTATTGTGGAATAAACTATTATACACACATATCAAATATATATACATATATATGACATAATCAATACTCTATAAATGGCACTGATACAGCTTAGCAAAATGGTGCGATGAGATCAAGTCTATGGGACAGAGAACAGAGTCCCTGAGTTCATCAAAAAAGAAGAAGAAGAAAGAAAAGAAAAATAGAAGAGAATGTTAGAGGAAAGAGACAGAACTTAATTTATAAAATGATGAAATATTGAGAAGACAGTTATAGAATTATATTTTACCAGGTATCTTAAGCTGTCCCTTAAAATAACAATTCTGGACAATCTGGTTTCTATTTAAATATTCATCCACACGGAAAATGGGAGGCAAAAGAAGAACAAATGCTATTAAATTGAATGTAGTCTTAATTTAAAATTTTCATTATTTATAAGAAGAACCTAAGTTTTTTGTTTGTTATTGTTACTGGGGATTAACTGTGGGACATTTTACTACTGAGTTACAACCTCAATCCTTTGGCTCAAAGAGCTTTTGTTTTTTGCTTACAGACAGGATTAGGAGGAAGGGTAAATAATGTGAGTGATTTTCCCCCCAAGAGAAAAATCCTCAATTGATTCATAAATAATTTTAGGCAGAAATAAAATAATGGAAGTATCTATTTAACTCATATAACTTGATTCATAGTCACAAAAATCTCTCAGAGCAGAGTTTGCTTCCTGATCGCTTTTCCTTTTCTCTGCTCAGACTCAGTAGGGCAACTGGCCTATTATCATGCAGTACGTAGGAGAGCAGCAAGTTCAAACCACTCCCTGTGAGGAAAAAGCCACTTCAATAAACTTTCCGCCCAGCTCAAGGTACTAGATTGAAAACAAAACACAGATTCAGAAGCTTTTAAAGGAGAGAAGCTACATATCCAAGGATAAACCTTTTCATATACAAAAAGAAGACACCAGAGATTAGAAATGGAAAGAGGATACCAGTATTTCTTCTCATTATAATAGTTCGCATTTTTTTCCAACACTTGAACTAATTCTGTAGGTAGAAACCAAGAAAGGAAGAAAGAACAAAGAAACAATAAAGTAATTTAAAATCAAGGAACAAAGAATAAAAAGAAAATCACTTAGGATGGGGGAGCAGGCAAAGAGCTGAAGGAGTAAACTGTGCAAGACGAAAGCCATTCTGATTTTATATGCTTCATTTTTCTCATTTGTAAAATTAGTGGGATGGTTAGGCATGGTGGTGCACGTCTGTGATCCAAGCTACTCCAAGACAAAGTCAGAGGATTGTGAGTTTAAGTCCAGCCTAGAGAACTTGGCAAGATCATCTAAAAAAAAAGGGGGTGGTGGTGGTGCTGGGGGTATAGCTCAGTGGTAAAGTGCCCCTGAGTTCCCTACAGTGAAAACAAAACTAGGGGGATGAGACCAAAAGGCTTTATGGCTCTAGTACCTTCTGTATTTCTAATGACCAAAAATTTAGATATAGTCTTACAAGACTACATACTTTACAGATTTAGTCACTTCATTAATATGTATATTCTTCTAGAGAGGGTATTTTCTAGAAACTTGGCTTATTGACAATAGATATAGGGAATGACAGTGTTAGACAAAAATCATGTAGGGCATTTTTTGGAATGAGTTCCGGTACCATAGGCCCCCAAAGATCAGACCAAAATGGAGTCACTCCTGCTAAATGTCAGGTAATCAAACTGAAATCTGAAGGAAGAAGTTATATCCTCAAACAGATCAGTTTTTCTTGAAATCAAGATTCTAGTCTGAGTTCACTTTTAAAAAAACGTCCCCTTGGTTTTCACCCTTACAAAAGTAACCTGATGCCCACTGTTTCCCTCCCACACACACACACTGTTCTGTTTCCTTATCCCACCCTATAAAACCCACTTCCCTGCCCAGTGGGAGCCCTCAATCTATTCTGCAGGATGGGGCTGCCCTATTCATGAACTATTCATCAAAGTCAATTCTATCTTTAAATTAACCAATTAAAGTCAATTAAATCTCTAAATTAGTCATAATTTTGTCTTTTTCCAATAGCTAAGACGAAGTCCCATAATCTGGCTAGATACCATCAATTTTAAGTAAGAAGCATAATATTCTTCAGTACACACCCTTCCTAAGAAAAGATTAGGTAGTTTATTCAACCTGAAGGGTGCTCCAGAATGCATTTCCAGATTAGGATCAACAAATTATTAAGTGGAGGCCTTGGTTTGTTTGTAATTTTTTTTTTTTTAAGAGAGAGTGGAAAAGAGAGAGAGAGAGAGAGAGAGAGAATTTTTTTAATATTTATTTTTTAGTTCTCGGCAGACACAACATCTTTGGTTGTATGTGGTGCTGAGGATCGAACCCGGGCCGCACGCATGCCAGGCGAGCGCGCTACTGCTTGAGCCACATCCCCAGCCCGTTTGTAATTTAATTGTAAAATAATACTACTATCATAATATCAATGGGAATGACATGGCTCCCCGATTGCCTGGAAGCCTCACAGCCAGCCCGGTAATCTAGTGTTAGTACTAGTGCTAGTCAATAGTGTTAGTACCTTTCCAAACCCTAATTAACATAAATTTTGGACCAATAGCATTTACCCTATATAAACCCCTAGAATAGCACACTCAGGCAGCAACCCTAATTGGGTCCCCTCTCACCCAAAAGAGTTTTGTTTCTATTCATACTTCAATAAATCCTACTCTTATTCTCACTTTTCTTGGTCTATGGATTTCACTCTTCAAATTCCAGACAAGAACCCAGAAAGAATAAATTGGCAGTGAGCTACTAGGGTCTGCTGCAACACTGGAGGGCATAGCCCACCATTAAAAGCTGCAATACCTTTGTCAGCACACAGACCCCACCTGTCAGCAGAAGTGGAGAAACTCCTTTTTTTTTATTGAGCACTTACTACATGCAAGGCTATTCTGCATGCTTTCATAAAGATTATCTCATCATCATTCCTATTTTATCAATGAGAGGTATGAATAATTTACCTAACTCCCAACTAGTAAGGACAAAGCTGTAGTCTAAAGTTAACAATATGGGACTGGGATTGTGGCTCAGCAGTAGAGCACTCGCCTAGCATAACCAGACCCGGGTTCAATCCTCAGCACCACATAAAAATAAAGGCATTGTGTTGTGTCCATCTACACCTAAAAAATAAACATTAAAAAAAATAAAGTGTAACAATATGTTTCAATTAATTTATTGAATGTCTGCCATATTCAGGGCAGGCAATGTGCTGGGCACCTATTTTCTTGAGATAATCACAACCCAGTGAAGAATATAAACAACAGCCGAAACAATGGATGAAAACCGACCCACACTAAGATGCAGAAATGTGAAATCTCATAACTCTGGAGCAGGAGATCCTAGTAGCTTGGTTCTATAAGGGCTTGGGGGGAAAGGGACCAAAAGTTATGCAGAAGGATCAAGAAACAGAAAGGTTCTGACCATGGTCCTGCTGGATATCCTTTAAGGACCTGATTTACACCACAGACTGACAATGTGCTGACTATAATAAGCCCTTCATTCCTAGGATCACTTGCCCACAGATCTCCCTGGAAAGGTCTTATAGCTATCAGGGAAATTTAAGGTAGATTGTCCGCCGCGCGAACAGCACGCTAGCTTCATACTAGAGGTTGGAAGCATATTAGTTAACTAGTGAGATCAAAATAAACACACAAACTCAATTTACCTTTTTCTTTGACCAGGTCTGAGACGGCCCTTCCTCTGGCTCCTGCCTCGAGCCACCCGGTGGGGCAGCGAGGCTTACTCAGGACTAGCAGGAGAGAGAGAGAGCACGCCAGGGAGTGGCCTTTTATTGGGGAACAAGAAATTCAGGGAAAAATTCCATCCAATGAAGGTTGAGGGGGACAGCATTCCAAGGTCAGGGTCAGTGACTGGTCTCAGGGTCAATGGTCAGTCACACCCCCACACGGATGAGCTCTGGCACCTAGAGAGGGTGGGGATTAGTTCCCACACAGTTTAGCCAGAACGCCTCACACCCAATCAGGGAGGTGCCCAATCACTTGCGAGAATGGCTTCCCACAAGATTGTGATTCAGAGATATCACCTTTCTTTTTCCAGAAATACTTTATGAGGGATATTTCCTTACATAGGCAGGTTTGCACTTTGCTCTTCAGCTTTTATATTCGATATTTTAAAAAACACTTTACACATAAACATATAAATAAAATAATTTAATATTTGCTTATTAAAAACTAGGATAGTAGAAACTGCTATAAAGAAAACTTTCCACAGGACAGAGTATGGACAACACCAATAATGGTAAAAAGTTTTCAATGAAACTGAAAAATTTTATCCCAATATGGACCCCAGAAACTCAACAGCAGAATTTCTTCTGCTGAAACCCTTAGATGAGCTAGCTTCTAGAAACGTGATTCACAGAAAATTTATTTCCAGCAGTGACTTTATTTACTGGGCAAGTTATGGAATTCTTAATTATTCTCAAATGAACCTTTTTTTCCCCCTACAATATAACAATACTCAATTTCTAGACATCAAAATTCTCATTAAGCGAATGTAAGATAAATATTTTTCAGAGTATTTCCCCAGATTCTTGGTAGAATTTTTTAGCTTACAGCTGCAGAAAGTTTTTCACTGTAGTTTTGGGATATTGTTTTATTTTTAAAATTAATTTCAATGTTCCTTTGCTAGTGAGAAATAGTTTTAATAAAAGCATGTTTGATACTTTAAGGAGACAAAGTAAAGGTTAAGTTCTTAAGGAACAATATTAACCTAGTACTTGCTGGTAGACACAATTCTTCTGCTACAATCAACAGTTGTTCACAGGAGGAACAAACTTTTGCAAATTTAGAGGGAGCTACTAGGACTAAATACTTTTACTTAGGCAAATTGTCATTCTACTTCTAGTTTGCACTAACCTAAATAACCTAATCAATAGGATTTACAGTTGTTCAACGCTGCTGCCCCTCAACTATTTTTTTTTTTGGTACCAGGGATTGAACCCAAGGACACTTAACCACTGAGCGACACCTCCAGCCTTTTGTTTTTAGACAAGGTCTCAGCTAAATTGCTGAGGCTGGCTTCGAACCTATAATCCTCCTGACTCAGCCTTCTGAGCCAATGGAATTACAGGAGTGCAGCACCATGCCTAGCTTCAATTTTTCTTAATAATTTGAAATCATCTTGGAAAAAGAACCAACATTTTATAAAAGCTGCTCTCCAGGACTCCTCCAAACCCTGAGCAGCTCTCTAGATTCTTCTATACTCTATTCCTCACCTCTAGTGTTCAGCCAGCCTAGCTGGCTCTCAGTTCCTCAAACGTTACTCTCGATCGTAGGTCTTTACGCAGCCATTCTGTCATTTCACTTGCCCATTTTATCCTTTAGATTTTGGCTTGAGTATCCCCTCCCCAGAGAAAACTTCCCCGGCCATAACTCCATGACGTCCTGTACTTCCTTTAGTATAACAGTCATCACACCAGGAATCAATGTCATCTTCACTCTGAACTGGAAGCTCCAGAGGGCAGGGACTATGTCTTCCTTATTCACAGCTCTATTTACAGTATCAAGTACAGCACATGCAACCACTTGTTAAAAACCGGACTTAAGTTTTCATCAGTAGATTTTAAGCAAAAGATTTGCAACTTCAATTAATTGGCGCAGGAAATTCAAGCGTTCTGAGGTAAATGCCTGCCTTTTAACCTTTCTTCCCTCCTCCGTGAATGGGTGTTGTCACCCATTCTTCTCCTTTCGACACAAGTTAACAACTGGTTTCCTTTAAGATTGGGGAAAATGTCAGACTCGTTACATGATTCTTTTAATAATATTAAGAGTTTATTCTCTTCAATAACATTGCTTGTAAATTATGTATCATAATTACATCCATTCAACAAATATTTATTATAAACTTCCTATGAATCAGATACAATACTAATTGCATAATATATGAAGTTACTGGCATCTGTTTGCTTGCAAATTAGGGCATATACCTCTTTACTTTCCCTACTATTTAAAAATATATGATAGATACTTTCTCTCAATGATTAAAGAACACACTAGCAATAGTATTTGCTTTGAAGGTAATTATAGAAGGAAAATCTGAGAAACCAGAACAGACTAAGTGCACTTAGAGAGACAGGTGTAACTACATTCTTAACAACAGTAACAACAAAGAATTCAAATAATTTGTCAGCTTCTTACACTGCTTGCAGTCTCCTTACCTTAGAGCTTACGCTATCCCAAATGGCTAGACCAAAGTAGTCTTCCTCCAAAAGATTGAGGTGTTCACATACTCTTTTAAGCAAATCTTGTCCTTTAGCATGTTTCTGCAATAAACAACATATTTTAGTTGAGGTTTCTTTTTTCTTTTTTTTTTTTTCAGGGGGGCTACCAGGAATTGAACTCAGGGGCACTCGACCACTGAGCCACATCCCCAGCCCTATTTTGTATTTTATTTAGGGACAGGGTCTCACTGCTTAGTGCCTCACTTTTGCTGAGGCTGGCTTTGGATTCACAATCCTCCTGTCTCAGCCTCCGGAGCAGCTGGGAGGCTTGCCCGGCTGAGGTTTCCTCTTAACCTTGTACTTATCACCAAATGAAATAAACTGTTACTTTTTACTTTCCTCTTTTACCTTTGGTTATTAAATTTCAGGTGGCCACACATTCTCATAGAACAGTATGATTTAAATTACTGTCTTTCAATTCATCAGCTTACATAGGCAACACAAGAATAGTACTTTGGACACAGTTTCAATGCAAAGCTACCTTTCCTCTACCTTCCACCCCCCATCTCCATCATAAACATACATTCTTTATTTGGGGAGCAATAATTCCTGAAACATACCGTGGGCCAGTGCCAGTCCCTGCAACCAGCTGAATCAACTGTCAGGCTGTGGAAATCCTTAGACCATCATTTTCAGAACAAATGTCCCAAGAGAAATATAACATAAAATTCTAGATAGCCTACAGACACTACCTGTTGGAACAGGTCTTTCGGTAGTGCTACAAATCATTTTAATATTTATTTACCTACAACGTCAAACAACTCCCAAGTACTTGGTACTTATGCTCCCATTTATAGGAAGGAAAGGCCCTAACTTAGAGGCTGTGATTTAGAGGTAAAACGTCCTAACTCCTTTATTCACTAGCTTAAAAACTAAGCAGCTTCAACTAACCTGAGCCATTGCAACTAATACTAGCCTTCTTATCTATAAAATTATAAGAATATTCATACCTGTCCTACCTATTCACAGAAATTGTTGAAAAAAATTGGACATGCTAATGCCTTCTGAGAAATATATAAAAATATTTCTAAAAATTAAAATCAGTGTTGGGGATGGAATCCAGGGCTTTGTGAATGTTGGGCAACTGCTCTATCACTGAGCTACACTGCCAGCCCTAGGAATCTTTTTAGGCCACATAGATGACACATTCTCCACTTAATGAGTTATTTCAAATGACTATTAGTAATTCATACAAATGTTCATTCACCTCATTCTTAACCCATTTCTATCTCATCATTCTTTTCTTTTTCCTCCTGCATTCACTACAAATGTCAGAAGATGAGTTGAATATTCTTCATATATAGGTCCCTAATTCCCTTATTCTTAATTTTAAAATCCAGTTCTAAAAATTAAAAGTGTTTTTGGGATCGAAGGGGGCACTAAAGTTTTTGGAGGAAATTCTGACTGAAGCTATAAAGAAGCTACTTATGGTCTTCATTTATCCATCTTAGGATGAATCTTCATACATTTCACTATAGAAATATATTTAAGCCCTGCAGACACAGCTACAGACCCTATTGGGTGTATTGCAAAATTTGTGAAATATGCAGAATACATACTTATCACCTTTCTAAATTTCAATCTATTCTGAATTCTGAAACACATCTGTTCCCAAGGGTTATAAGTACAAGGACCTATATCCAGATCTTGGACTGAATAAGAATGAATGAATGTGGAATAGTTTTCCTATCTCTACGCTAGCTAGTGGCAAGAAGCAGAAAAAGTAAACTCTGGGTCTCTCCTAGGTTTCCCGGTGCAGTAGCTATCTTCAAAGGCAAAAGTACATTTTTCTTGATTTCCTTTTCAAAACTTGGAGAGAGAATACCTATTACTAAATATAACATAATATTTTAGAGTTTGTATTTGGATATATTTGCTTTTGCACAAAATTCAATTTAGAAATAATCTGTTGTATACATAAGATTTAAGAAAATGTGAACAGCATGTTTTATTCATAAAAGCTATTAGTAACAATCACAATAATTGCTCATAGTTCAAGCATATCATAATTGGCAATTACTGCTCTAGTTTTAAAAGTTAGTTAATAGATGCTGTATTTTAACTTGTCCTGAAGGAGCAAAAGAGAAACTGAATAACTCTGACATTTTAATTCAATAATGATTCAATTAATTATTCTTTCATAAAATATTAGGAATTTTAAGAAATGGTTTATTTGATCTACATTTTTATATGCTATCTTATGGCACTAAAGACATACATTAGATAAAGATTAAGATTTAGGTCTGGGAACAGAAATGTTACAAACAGAATTTTTTTGACAAACATAGGGAGACCTGGATCTAATATCAGAAATTGAGGCTATCTTGGGAAACCTAGTCATCAAAAAGAACTCTATAATAACAAATACATCTGTTTTAAAACCAAAAAATAGAGCACATTTTATTGCAAAAGTAACACATGCTTAAGTAACAAGATAGAGAAAGAAATTGGAGAAATAAGATTCACTCATAATCTTCTCACACCCTCATCTCCAGATAATCACTATTAACATTTCAATTCACAGAAATAGTCATCAGACCCAGCCACATCGATGTTTATAAGCAGGTCAATTCACAATAGCTAAGCTATGGAACCAACCCTTCAACAGATGAATGGATAAAGAAAACATAGTATATAAACACAATGGAATATTACTCAGCCATAAAGAAGAATATTATGGTATTTGCTGGTAAATGGATGGAACTGGAGACTATCATGCTAAGTGAAATAAGCCAATCCCAAAAAACCAAAGGTTCTCTCTGATATGCGGATGCTAACACTCAATGGGGAGTGGGGCAAAGAATAGAAGTTCATCAGATTAGATAAAGAGGAATGAAGGGAAGGGAGGGGAGATAGGAATAACAAAGACAGTGGAATGAATCAGACATAACTTTCCTATGTTCATATGTGAATACACAACCAGGGTAATTCCACATCATACACAACCACAGGAATGGGACATTATACTCCATGTATGAATAATATGTCAAAATGTATTCTACCTTCATGTATAACTAAAAAGAACAAATTTTATAAACAAGGAAAGAAATAGTCCTTAGAGTGGTCCTTGTCTCAGGCAAAGGCACCATTTATTCCAATGACATGAAACAATTTGTAAGAGTTCTGGCTACTGGACTTAAATTAAAAGGCACTCACCTCCAAGACACATTCATAAACTGTGTCATCCAACAAAGAAACCTTGCAGTGCATGTTTCTGTGTCGTCTGACTGATTTCTGGGAAGCTTTTAATTCTCTTTCTGTTTTTGACTCAGGATCTTCTTTTACTTCTGTTTTGGAGCACTCTTCAATTCCTTCTCCTTCCTTAGTTTCAAAATCTAGATCTTCTCTGTGTTCTTCCTGAGCTGGCTGCATGTCCATGGCATCATGAGGTAAGTAATAAAGACATTTTACAAAGTGTGTTGAATGAATATACTTTTACCTGCAATAATCCTACCAATAAAAATACTAAGTGAAAAATAAAAATTATTAAAGCAAATATGTGGACATTAAATGATTATTTTTATAAAATATATTATGATCCCCCAAAAGATCTACAGACTTCACTATTCTCAAAATTTCTCAGATAGAATTCCATCAAATTAATAAATGATGGTTTCAGGTAAATTGTAAGACATCAATCCCTTGCTCTCAGTGTTATATATTCTTTCTGACTATAACATTATATGATATTGTTAAAGTCTGTCAAAACTTCATCATCTTGCTAGGCACATGCCTGTAATTAGAAGGTTAAGGCAGGGGGAATCACAAGTTCAAGGTCAGCCTCAGCAACTTAGTGAGACCCTCAGCAACTTATCAAGACCCTGTCTCAAAGTAAAAAACTAAAAAGGGCTAGGGATGTGGCTTAGTGGCAAAGCACACCTGAGTTCAGTCCTCAGTACAAAGACAAAAAACTTTATCCTTTCTGTCCCATGCTCCTAAATTTTAACAAAATATGAAAAATTATGCTGTATATGTGTAATAAGAATTGTAATACATTCTGCTGTCATTTTTTAAAAATCAATTTAAAAAATTAAAACAGGGGCTGGGGTTGTGGCTCAATGGTAGAGTGCTCACCTCGCACGTGTGAGACCCTGGGTTCGATCCTCGGCACCACATAAAAATAAATAAACAAAATAAAGATATTGTGCCCATGTATTACTAAAAAAATTTAAAAATTAAAACAAAAAAAATAATTATATAAAATATGACTTGCCACATATTCTCAATTTTACCAATGGGACCTATTTTAGCACATTGAACAAATATACATAATAGGTTAAAGACTGTTAACTCCTTCCTACCAGGAACAATCATGCTAAATGTAAACAAAATTCAAAGATGGAAAATACATATTGAAATCTGGGTCACCTAGGATAATCGTTAAGTCATAACACAGGAGAATCGGATAATATTTTGGCAGCCATATTTTTAATTTCAACATAATACAACTGCTGAAAGATTTTAACTAAACCTCACTAATTCTTTTCTTTCAAAATAATACATGGTTGACATCTAGGAAAAAAGGACTTAATGACTTGGCTCCTGCATTAGATACTGAAGGTGGCCTACGAGGCCCATACCCAACCTTCACAATATCTCATGCAGCCTCAGGGAGGCCTTCTTTAGCTATCATGTCACCCTATCCCTGCTCTAGTACTTGTCACTTCAGCACCATTTGTTGCCTTCATAACATTTATCATAAATAAACTCTAATTTTATACTTAAAACTTGTTTCCTCCATTAGCGTACAAAACCCACAAGAGTAGGAACCATCTGTTTTATAATGAAAATAATGACCAATATTTACAGTGAGCCAGTTACTGTCCTAAGATCATTACTTACAGGAATTCATTTAATGCTCATAATAACCCTGTGGGGCAGGTACTATTATTATCTCCACTTGACAGATGAGAAACTGAGGTCACAGAAGTCAAAGTAACTTGACTAGGATAATACAAGTCACACACCAGTTGGCTCCAGAATCCATGATCTTAAACCTCTTCGCTATAGTGTAGTTTTTAATTTATCAAGGTACATCCACCCTAAGGCTGACATACATGGTAGGATTTCAATAGGTATTTATGGAATGAATAAATAAATAAACATTAAAAAATATTTTGGTTTCCCCCAAATCCAAGCTATCCTGAATGAAAACTGATACAATCCTATAATGCAAACTCAAACCCTTATTCACACGTTCTGATCCACTAGGTTTTGATTGCAAATACTAGTTCCCAAAGGCCTAAAATAGTTTATTCCTTTAAATAATAACCACTTAACACTACTAACTTATTTTGTTAATTTTTCTCCAAACATACATAAATACCTGCATATAATTTATCTTACTTCTGAATTAAGTCTTGATGAGATTTTAGTTAAATCTAAAATTAACTTTGTCTATCACCTGTTTCATAGATTTAAATACAAATCTAGGGCTGGGGAGTGATAGTGGTCAAATTATATTGTTAAAGTGTGCACATGTATGAATATGTAATAACAAATTGCATCATTATATACAATTTTAATGCACCAATAGAAATGTGAAAAAAAATAAATACAAATCCATGATCTTTCGACAAAATAGACAAGTTCTGATTCAAAAGCTAACTAAAACAAGATTTTTCCTTTCATAAAAGGAAGAGGGAGCAATTAAAATTCCTTTGAAAGTACCAGACTTCCTGAAAAGCAATGTAATTTAACTCTTTTGATATTCCAAAAATTAAAGTAGTGACATCATAATATGTGGGGTTTCTTTGTTTTCTGTCTTAAATTTTAAGGTATTTATTTTATAATGCTTATATGGCAATACCTGAGAATACATATAGGGTTTCTTTGCCATTACTGTCCATGTTTAAAAACTGAGTTATAATAGCTAACATTTATTGAGTGCTTATTATATTTCATGTTTTACAGGTTCATTTCTTTTAAACCTCACAAAAGTCCAATGAGGTGGATATCACTGTCCCCACTGTGGGAAGGAGGAAAGTGATAAAATGAAAAGTGTCACTTCTCTATGATTTGAACTCCCTGGTCTGATTCTATTGTGTATATTCAAAGTGATTACACTATACAGTAAATCCTGTTTTCAACTTTGTTTCACTAATAGCAAATGCACAATTAGCATCTTATCCTAATTTTCCCTTTAGCATTCTGAATATACAAGTACTATTTCTAGAAATATATATAATCTTTTAAGAAAATTCTAATAAAACTATATATATATATATATATATATATATATATATATATATATATATATATTCCAAACTTTAGACTCAGGCCCTATACTAATAAATGCTACACAGTGATAGAAAGAGCTAGAGTTCCTCATCTACGTCTTACATTCTGCAGTAATAGAATCTAGTTGAAGAATAAGGCAGACATGGTTCTAATCTATCTCATACCCTTGGATGGCTTGAATCATACAGTTTTTCTAAAAAGTTCCATAAAAGGACAACATTGGGTGACAACTATTCCATTTCTAAGAATTTCACCAAAATGAACTCAAAACAACCTAACTTCTTTTTCACTTTCTCATTAAAATCCTGAACTTTTCCATATGACAGCAAGATGATATATGGGCTGAACAAACTCACTTGATACTTTTCTTTCATTTCCTTTTCTTTGATTTACAGACTGTATCTTTTTAAAAATCAAGTTTCCAGTGACTACATTAATTTCTTTAGAGTGCTAACTCCAAAGTTTTATCTTGTTTATCCTTAACAACGCCAAAGTTAACTGGCTCATAAGAAATGAAACCAAATGTTTTTCAGTGAAATGAAGTGTATAACCTGTCTCCACTACACGCCCTCTCCCCGGGTTGACACCTCCTTACCTGTGTTTCTGCACTGCTTAATGAATGAAGGTCCAAGGAAGGATCTGTTTTGAGCTCAGGTTCAGGTGCAGCAATTGGGGCCTTTAAAATAATTTCTTCATCGAGACTGGTTCCAAATTCTGTCTCTTTCTGACCTCCTTCACCTCTTTCTTTATCTGACTCTCCCTCTTTGACTTCTTCCTCAGAGACCTGAGATTTGGGCCTTTTGAGAAATGAGGAGAGCAGTCGCGAGAGGCCTCTGCTTTCTGACGTCCGATCCTTGTTCTTGTTCAGGTCTTCGTGAGTCGGAGTGTCTCCATTGGATGTCTTCAGCTTCTGCTCACACTGATTGTCCCCTTCAGCTGCTGCTTGAGAAGCCTCTTCCAGTTGAGCTTCCTGCTGTCCTGAGTTTGTGGCTCCCTCACCCTCTTCCTTTTGTTGTTGGTGCTGAGAATTTTCAGCCTCGACCACTAAACTCTTCTCTGTTGTCATGATGTTGCTATGAAAAAGAAGATGGAAAAGAAGAGCTCTTCATAAACAAAACATGTAAGTGTAGGCAAATACTTAAGCCCTAAAGAATTCATATGTTTAGGTATTTAATCACCAACAAACAGAACTCCAATCCATTAAACATGAAACTTTCCATTGAAGTACAAAAACATTTTACCTATACATCCTGAATAAATTGTTAATGCCTTGAGTCACTAAAGATATGCACATAAAGAAATTAGCTTAAAATAATACCTATTGCATCCATGTAGTGAACAACAGACATTAAGTTAAATGCTCAGAACTGCACATAGCAAATACCATTTTATCCCTCCTAAAAAAGGGATCTTGTTGCATATTGTCCCTTGAGGGTATCAATATGAAGGTACAGAATTTGCAGAAATTAACCTCTGAAAAATTCTCCATACCCCAAGAGATGATTAAGTTTAAAAGTTCCCCAAATCTTTATTCTTCTTTCTTATATTCTTAGAATGAATACACATCTCCATTGAGGACAGCAAACGTGCCAAATGTGGTGGTACACCTATAATCCCATTGACCTGGGAGGCTGAGGGCAAGAGGATTGTAAATTTGAAGCCAGCCTCAGCAACTTAGTGAGCCCCTGGGGATGTAGCTCAATGGTAAAGCACGCATGGGTTCACTCCCCATTACAAACAAACCAACCAACAAAAAACAAACCAGCAAACAGAATTCTGATTATTATTAGAGCAGACAATAGTGATGAGAGATACACAGTGAATCACAAGAGATTTCCTCTTTCAGGAGTATCCTATTTTAAGCTCTTGCAAGCCATTTTTATTTCTAATATGATTTTGAAAGTTCAGCATTTTTGAAAGTAGGAAATGAAACTATTAAAACAGAGAAACAAGATAGAGAAGAAAATTTTAGAAAGCAAATATTGATTCACTTGTAGGGAAAGAGAAGAGGCAGGCTGTAGAACTTTCAAACTTGATTTCTAGGCTTTTGAACTAAAAATCCCTATGTTATTAATCAAGCTTTATGATAAGAGCCAAAGAGCACTATCACACCTAGTTTAATAATAATAACCAACATACAGGGAGACTTTTAAAACACTAGGCTATGAACTTGACTATCATTGATCTTATGTGATTCACTGTTACATCTAAGAGTACTCCCTGCCCATCAACAGCATGTTGTTATACTGCCAATGAAACATTTCCATATGATTTAGACCAAGTAATTTTACTTAGATATTGATAATCTGAATTAATGAACTGTATTTAACTCATTCCCTCCTCAAGTCCTTCACATTTGCTGTTGTCTGTACTATGATGCTCTTCTCCTGGCTCTTTGAAGGTTGGTCCCCTTCTCATCCTTACTGCCCCGGCTCAGATGATACCCTTTTTGTGATGTGTCTCCACACACCGTAGCTAAAGTGATGACTCTCACTGCCCCCATCGTATTCTCACAAAAGTATTCTTTTGGAACATACTGAAACAATTTCAGGTAATATAATATATGAAATGATAGAAAACAATGACCAGGAATTCAAACAATTCAATAATCAACAGAAATGCTACAACTCAGTTTACAAAAGAAAAAATAAAAATGAATGCTGAAGGACAGTTTGTATGTGTGTTCTTTCTACACTTGGGTAGCAATGCTATTAGTAAGAATGAGAAGGGGGAGAGAATAAACATAAAAATATAAATTCAACTGATAAATCATATAAATGAAACTATCTTAGTTTAGCTCTAAATTCAACAAAAAGTTGGGTGGGGTGACAAACACCTATAATCCCAGCTACTTTGTAAACTGAGGCAAGAGGATCTCAAGTTCAAAGCCAGCCTCTGTGAGAACCTGTCTCAAATTTAAAAAGGGCTAGGGGTGTTGTTCAGTGGCAGTGCAACCCCGGGTTCAACTCCCAGTACGACAATAAATAAAAATATATTGCAAAAAAAAAAATTCTATGGACCATTAGCTAAAACCTCCTGACAAATCAGTTACACATACTATCAAATTCTTCATACTGCAAATGATAGGAGAGGTAACCACAGGAAGACACAAAGAAGTCAAGCAGCAAAAACAGGATAAAGGTTCTACAAACAGGCCCTTTCTGTATAAATGATACTCTTTTCATTCTGGATACAGAATCCAAAAGAAGATATCTATTTACTTGATGTCAGAAAGAAGCCTCCTGATAAGAAAGAAAGAGAGAGAGAGAAAGAGAAAGAAAGATAGATAGATTAGTACAGCACTGAAGACAAGTGATGAGTCCCATTTCATCTCAATCCTAATCCTCCAAACCCCATCTGGTATCAACGATACACTTGTTTTAATAATATGCATCTGCATATTCAAGCAAATCAGAAATGTTAGAACCCCAACACCCAGGAGATTGAAAAGGTCAAATGAGAACTTACTTTCTTTTTTTTTTTTTTTTTAAATATCTAACATTAGTACAGTCAATGCTCCATTAAAACTTCTTCAGTGGAAAACTTCATAAAAACACTAGTTTGGCAACATTAAGAAAACTTACCTTGCCATCAACATTTAGGGATGAAATTTAATGACTCGATATTGGTAATAATACTCTTTAAATTAGTTCACAGAGGATCTATTAACAATTACTGGGTGCTAATCAGGTAAAAAAAGGATTTACCTTGGCTGAGAAAGACCAAAAAAGAATACACAATTCTTAAGGAGATGAGAAATAAATACTGAAACACAAGGCAGTACGTTAATCAGATAAAAAATTATGAGAGAAATCAATGAAGTAACACAAAACTATAAATTAAGAACTTTAAACTAGAGTGATTAGCCATGCTGAAATGGTGGCTTTTAAATTAAGCTTTGAAAGATGAGTATAGATGTCAACAGAAAGAGACTTAAAGGGCAGTGGGCAAAAGGAATTCCATGCAGGGCAACTGGCATTAATGACACCACTCTAGCTCCTCAGGAATTAGCAAGAATTTCAGAATGGTTGGAATAAGGTTACAATTAGGAAGTAGTGGGAAGTAAGGTTAGAATAGTTATCACTAACTAAACTAATTGCAATCAGAAGCATGCCTATAATCCCAGCAGCTTGGGAAGCTGAGGCAGGAGGATCACAAGTTCAAAGCCAGCCTCAGCAAAAGTGAGGCACTAAGCAACTCAGTGAGACCCTGTCTCTAAATAAAATACAAAATAGGGTTGGGGATGTGGCTCAGTGGTTAAGTGCCCTTGGGTTAAATCCCCAGTACCAAAAAAAAAGGTGGGGGGAGAAGGTGAGAGAAGAGGAGAAATGGGAGCTACCATTTATGGAGAACCTACTAAATGCCACACATTATTCTAAATGTTTTACTATGTTATCTTACAACCATTCTGTAAGTAGACATTCTCATTTCCCCCAATAAATAAACAGGCTCTGAGAAGTTAAGACATTTGCCTCAGTTCACACAGCTAAGCAATACTTTAATAAAACTATTAATATATTATAAAGTGGCAATTCCTTGGTAAATTCTCAGGTTGTATCTGTCTCAGAGGCTTCTGCCCCAGAGATGCTTCTGTGTTAAATAAACCCCTATTGTTGAGAAATTATGGACAGCCTCTTCAATTCAGCCAAGATCACTGTGTTCTCATCAATTTCAAGTCCCACAACCATGTGCAGATTTTTCTTTACAGAGAGTACATGTGAAGATGGAATGGGGAAACAGACACAGGCAAAAATGACAGCTTAGGAAAGGACGTGAATATTATTTTAAATAATTTGGTCTTCATCCTGAAGGTGGTGGAGAGCCACTGGAGGTTTTTGGTTTTTTTTTAAGTTGTACATGGACACACAATATCTTTATTTTGCTGAGCATCGAAACCAGTGCCTAACACATGCAAAGCAAGCGCTCCACCACTGAGCTACAGCCCCGGCCCCACCACTGGAGTTTTTAAATAGGGAAGTGAATAAATAAAGTGGAAGCAGAGAGTAGGATACAAGTTGGATAAATTCAGGTTATCGATAAACACTCACAATGGGAATCCCTGGGAAGCTGAAACCAATCCTGACTGGACAGAGAAACTTGAAAAGCCTTGCAACCAAGGCTTCCGAATTACTGCAGTCCTTGGTTTCTCTAGCTTGTTCTCATTAGAATGCTTCTCATTAACCCTAGCAGTTTCAGGTCTGACCTTAAAGGCATTTTCATAATACACCTCTTTGGGCCCACTTCAATAAATGGCTTAATGAAAGACATACAGCAATGGAACCAAAATAGAAGAGAGATGGGCATCTCACAACTCTCTCAAGACATTTTCAGAAATACTCTTAATTTTCTGTTTTTCTTATCCTAGTAAATGGCTCAATCATACCATCCAGACCTCAAACCATAGACCTCAACACTGTCTTTGCCTTCTCCATTTCCCTTCCCAACCAAATCCGTTAGTCCTATAGAGTCTACCTCCAACATATTTAGAGCCGATTTATGTTCCACCTTCTCTGCCACTATCAGGTTTGTGCCAGTCTCCACTTCTCACTTGAATTACAGGTCCTTAATTAAATGACGTGACTTCTTCCTACCTCACCAGCCTCACTTACCTCCATCATTTTAGTCTACACAATGTGAAAACAGTTTACAAGAAAAACATTTTAAGGTCTTGATTGAACATGCCCCAACAGAAATAAAATTCTAAATCAGCTAACAATTTTAGCTGCATTTCTAGAATTATAATGACCACATTTGACACTTCAACATAAATTTTGAGAATGTTACAATGTTCTAGGTGCTATAGTATGCAGGAGGCTACACTAGTGAGAAAGACAAAAGAAGTCTCTGACGTCCTGGACTTCACTTTCCATCTAGAATACAGTGGAATGTAATAATCCCTCTGTTCACAGTATTTATATTGTATTGTAAATCTTACATTCAGTTCTAGGCAGTTTACCCTAAAGAGAACAGACTCCGTGAAAGAAGAGATAGAAGATAATGATGGAATTTAAGACTGTATCATAGGGTAAAGATATGGTGATGCTTAGCCTAGTAAAAAAAGAATCCAAAGAAG